TTATTAAAAAAAAAAGTCAAAAGCAATTATGATGCCCAATACAATAAGCTATAAAGAAAATGCCCCAAAGTTACTGTAAAGTCAAAATAAATAACCATACCTAAAATGTTATATGATGTTTAATTTTTTCTATCTTTAAATTTATTGTGATTAATATGTTAGAAAGAATTTATTATAAGTATTCGATATTGTAATAATGATAAGTGTTCTAAGAGTATTCTGAAACCAAATAGACAAAAAAGTTTTTTTGGTCATTTTGAAATATTAATACATTGCGCTATTTCATTTGCAAATTTAAATTTATGAAGTGTGTACATTATTTATTTTCTTCAGAATATATATTGAATTACATTATTTTTATATAACATTTGTGGGAAAAAGAAAAATCATAATTTATGTCACATTTGAATTGAGAAAATAAAAATTTATTGCAAATAGTTAATGTTGATTTTAATTTGTTGGGCAATTTTTAAAACGTGTAAACTATGTGTATACTGTGAGTGTATATATATCACAAGTCAACTTCATGGATGATTAAATGGGTAAGATAATTTGAAAGAAACTAGTAATACATTATATTATTTTGTAGAATAATAAATTTGTCTTCACATTCCTCTCAATTTTTCTTCATTTCACTCTAGTTCCTAAACATCATAAGTCATTTAGTGTGTTCATTATGTATTGATTTTAATTCTTACGGATCTATTTAAATTTCTATAGAATGTCTTGAAAATTCAATAAATAGGCTTTAGAGTGTTACATGAACCATCATGGAAATTAGATCTTAAGGCTTAGTATTGATAGGCTTTGATTTGGGTAAGAAAATGAGTTTTTAGTGATCCAATTTGGTTGGTTGAGGTTTAGGAACTCTAACATTGGAGTTTAAGTCGGAATTTCTAAAGTTTGGCCTTTTGTGTTGTTAACAACGGCAAACGTTGCGAAATAACAAGTTTTCCTTTCTTTCTTTCGTTGCGGCGAAAGGGGTTTGTTCACCTTGGTGAATGTCATAACATTATGGACAACACAATCTCCATGTTGTTCGTTGCTCCAAAGAGTACCATTTGCCATGGCAAACATCACACATTCTACATAGCTAAGTTGTACCACATATCGAAAATTAGAACAGAAGAAGAAGGAGCTCTGCCAAGGAGCAACATTTTAGATCATTGGGAGTATTTTTAAGCTTCCAAACCTAGACTAAGTATTCCTAATTTTCTTTCTCTTATTTATGCTTAGATTTTGAGATAGTGGAAGTTAGGTTTATGTTAACTTTCAAAATGGGTTGAGGTTTGATAGAATATTTTGAGTTCAAATGGGTTATTAGGACTAGATTTAATGTTTAGTTAGTTCACTTTCATTATTGATAAAGTATTTTTGTGATTTTTGTAATTGTCTGGCTTGATACCTCCCAAGTACTTTCTTGTATACCTGATAAGTAAGATTGTCAGTTACTAAAACTTTTGTCTTACTCTATGGTTTAATATTTTCAGATGATAGCTCTAGCGCTGGTTTGTCAAGGAAGGCGCCGAAGGCTTGGCTATCAGGTTAATTTTGTATAGCCTCTTTTTTATTATGTGATGGGTAATTGTATATTGCCACATATGGTTTATTTTGCATACTCTAATTTATTTGAGACTGTTTGTATTAACTATATACTTTTAATAAATTGTTACTAGATTACATGGTGGTAGAAGGTCATAAGCCTTTAGCTATTCGTATGTGTTTGTAAATTGTGAATTCACAATGTCTTTCGAAAATATTGGAGTACTATTAGTTTAGAAAGTTATAAAAAGTATTATTTAGAAAATATCTTATTATGGGCTTGTAGTTGAATGTGACATGCTGGACTTCATAATACCCAAAGCTCAGTTATTGTGAAACATTGTTACTCTTGGTTTGCATGCAACTGTTATAATAAAATTCTAATATCCATGATAACTTTTAGAGGTTTTATTTTTATTTTTTTCAATCATGAATAAGTATTGAAAGATGAGTTTATCTCTTTTAACTATGATAAGTATTTCTAAGAATTAGTTTAATTCTTTTTTATCATGGTTAACTGTTCATGTGATTCAAGCTTCTTCTATAACCATGGTAACATTTTCAAATGTTATACTAAGTTTCTTTTCTCTCATGACTAGCATCATTAAATAGTGATTTAGAAAAGTTAGTAACCGATTTAGAAAAACTGTTGTTACACTAAGCATAAGAGACTTAATTTTGTATTTGCATAAGAGACTTGCAGATGTCCCAAAAAATGAAATATGTAAAAGTCCTTAAGCTATTGGTCGGGGTAGGAAACACGAAGACTCTTGTTTAAAGAAACAAAGCATAAGAGACTTAATTTTATGTGTAAGCTACGTTTTGTAAGGTTGAGTATGACCAAGTATAGGGTTTTGATCACAAAGGAAACTAAAACCTTCAGCTTGGCTTCCTTTGGTGACCAAGACCTACTCCACTCAATCATAGTCAATCATGTGAAATATAGCTTATCAAATCGGAACCAGGTCAGTTTTGTAACTGTTTTAAATAAGATTATATATATTCTTCCCTTTTGTTGCCACAAACTATAGCATAGGAATATTTTGTATGTTCCATTTTAATGCTAATTAATAATTAAAATGCCTATTATTATTGAACAATAGCACCCTATCCAATAGTGTTGGGATTTGACTTCAACAATATTTGCAAAATGAATTGGCCTTCAACTCAATGCAGACAGTAGGCTAACTTACATCTACAAAATCCAGTGCTCAAAAATCATTTAACCTCTTTAGAGGGAGTGAAATAGAGCAACCAAGCAAAAAAAAAATCTTGAAAAGACAAATGTCATAAGAGTAATTAGTTAGCATAACAAAAAATAATAATTAAAAAAAAGGTTCACTTTTTAGACTGGTGATAACAAATACAACCAGTCCAAAAAGTGTACCTATTTTTTATTAATTGCTAGTACTCACACGAGTTGGAACAACAATCGGTCTCAAAAGTATTATTTTCTACACTGGTTACCATTTTAACACTAGCAGTTTTCTATATAAGTTGGTATTTTTGTGTCAAAAGCCCATTTTAACTAGTGTAAAATACCTTTTTGTTTTAGTAGTACTAATTAGCTTAGCAACGAATTGCCAATAGAATTAACTATGAAATATTTTCTGTCACTATTATCGGTTGAATTAAAATTACTAAATTAGGAGGGAAAATAGGAAAAAAAATGGGTTCTTCCTATTTAGAAGAGAAAAAAGGTAGAAGGAAAGAAAAGTTAAAGGGAGAATAAGATGCAGAAAAAGCCCTACTTTTTTCCCAACTTATCTCTCCATGGAAAGAAAATGAGGAGAAAACTTATTTTCAGTTTGTGTCCTTCATCTTTAATTTTTATATTATAGTTTTAGTATTTATTAATAATGTTGAATGATGTATAATTTATTTTTTTATTATACCTATTTTCAAAAAATTATCCATTTTTATTTTTTTAACTTAAAAAATAACATTTTTTAAATTATTTGGTTTTAAAATATGGTAACATGAAAATATATCTTTATTAAATAATTTGATTTTAAATTATTTGATGATGATAATGTCAGGATAATTTTTCTATATATTTTGGTATTTAATTTGAATTTTAAATATAACATCTTTTACATAAAAAAAGTATTCTAGCCATTTAAATATTGCTCATTTTTATTTCTTTCTGTTTTCTCTCATTTATCTAAACAAAAAGAACAATAATATTTGTTCTCTAATTTTCTTTTATCTCTATTTTTTCTATTTATATTTTCTCTCCTCTCAACTTTTATATCAATCCGAAAAAAAACGAGCATTTGCCTTAACAACGAAGCATCCCCGTGACGGCAAAGAATCCCACCTGCTTTTCTATAAAATTAGCTCAAATCCGTCAACGGGCCGGGGGCTCATGAAAAACCATATAATAAATCTGAATTATAATTCGGTAAAATAATAATTGGCCGTTGGATTCATGCCTATTTAAAATCACCTTTTATTTAATGCAATAAACTCAAACAATTTACGCGGATATTCCATTACATCGATAGACAGATGGTGATCAGTAAATAGGACGGCCATGCGCTGGGTTAGGCAAACCCACTTTGAAGAGGAAAACTTAGGGTTCATAATTAAAAAGATTCGAAGTTTTGATTGGGGGAGAAATTGCCAGAACCTTCTATAGGAAACAATGAGATTAAACAAAGAAAAGAAATTTTAAAACGTCTAATGAAATAATTCCTCTACTTTGATTTATAAAACAATTTTTTGGCGAAAAAAGATTTTTAAAACATTTTTTCAGATGGTTCCGTATTTCATAATATAAAATGTTTTCAATCAGTAATGATATTGCTTTACAAAAATACACTTCATTAATTAAGTATAAAGTTAATTAGATATTAATATTAAATGAAGTGTATTTTTGAAAGTTTATAAAGGGTAGGATTTTAATTATTTAATGATATTTATTAATTTTTGTAATTTACTCAAATTATACCCTTCTAATCATATTTATAATTTTTCACATAAATGAATAAATTACCCTTCATTTATTATTATTTACACTGTTATCTGTTTTTTCAAGTGTATATATTAAAAAAATAAACTTAATAATATATTAAACTTTAAGAATTATGTTACTGATGTATCTTATAAATTGAAATAAAGGTAATATTAGTGGGCTGAACGGTAACGGGGAGCTTTCTTTTATTTTAAATTTGAAATATTTTTCAGGAAAAAGATTTATTTATTTTCAGGTTGCTTATAAAGTTACCCAAAACTTGACGGGCAGATGCCAGAACACGCCGACGCGGCACCGTTCCTGAGAAAGATCCCAGAGACCAGGATTCACGCCCCACTTTCAATCTCCACCGTCCATTTCCTTATAAATAGCCCGCTCCTGCTTTATTTTTTCTCCTCCGAGGCTCTATCGATTCCATCCTTTGGACTCTATTCCCCGCGCAGGTTCTTCTTTTCTGGTGGAAACAGCAGCTGCCGCCTCCATGGCGTTCGTCGACGGCCTTTCTCATACCGACATCGTCCGCCTCATAGAAGAGCTTGCCGGGGTCGAGATGGCCGGTCTCGAGACTTGCCTTAAAGAGTTCGTCTCTTTACAGCCTCTGAGCGGCGCCAGAATCACCGTTTCCTGCCACAGGTCTAGTGAAACCGGCGGCCTCACCAAACTCCTAGAAGCTCTCGGAGCCGAAGTTCGCTGGTTTCCCTGTTACATCTTCCCTAGTCAGGATGACGCTGCCGCCGCCGACGCCTCCGACTCTCGGATGGGAAAGAAGGCGGATAAGGGGTATTGGCGGGGTACGGATCGTGCACTTAACTGGGGTCTTTCTGGTGGTCCCGATCTGATTGTTGACTTCGGTGGTGACCTTACCTTCTTGATCCATGAAGGTGTGAAAGCTGAAGAGATTTATGCCAAGACTGGTCAGCTGCCAGACCCGTCTTCTACTGAAAATGCTGAGTTGCGGGCTGTTCTCAGTATCATCGGAGAGGGCTTAAACACTGACCCCAACAGGTACCACAATATGAAGGGGAGCCTCGTTGGTGTCTCTGAAGACAGCGCTGCTGGAGTGGAGAGGCTTTACCAGATGCAAGCTGATGGAACTCTGTCGTTCCCTGCCATCAGTGTCAACGGCTCTGACACCAAGAGGAAGGTAACTATCACCGACAACATGCAGTTTAGTTTTAGAGCTGTCTGAGATTTGAAATTCTGTTAACTTTAGAGCAGCTACAAAGTTGACTTTTGCACGAGTCAATTCTTCAGATCTAATGAGTCTCAGCCTTCGTGAACTTGGGACTAGTAGAAGCCATTTTTTCTGGCAAATGCCGGTCGGTGTTCTTCAATTTTTTGGTTTTTTATTTTTATCATTTTCGCAATTGTTATCTCTTTCGTTGGTTACCCTAATTGTTTTGTTTGACTTTTCAAAAGTAGGGACGGTCTCATAATCTCTTATTTTTAATGTTTCAAACCATTTTATTTAAAGGTTTGATACAAACTTTAGCCTTTCAGGTTGTCTTTATTTCGTTTGTAGTTTCTCAGTTCAAATTATAAGTTTTGGTGTCTTAAACTTTTTTTTTTTCATTTATAACATTGCTCCTTATGATATAAGGAAAATTTAGATTATTTTGTCTTTTAAAGAATTAAATTTTATGATTTAAAATTTGAGAAACTAAAAATTATATTAATTTTATTTAAATATTTAAAATTGTACTTTTTTTTGATAAAAGGAAGTCAATATTAAATTTGTTTTGATGAGCTTTTATTATTATGCAAAAAAAAAAATTCTTGCAATTCCAATGATGTGGTTAATTACGATGTTGGACATTAGATGATCTTCTGTGTAATTTTATTAAAAATTTTTGGATTTGATTATCTTTGTTAGCTTAATTTATATATTATCTCCTCTTTTTAGTATGAGATTCATTTGAGAATATTAAAGAAGAAATTAGTTGAGTGATTTATTTATAACAAAATGCATTTAGCCTTTCCTAAATTATTTTTTTTAGTCATGTGCAGGAAACCTCAACGTTTTGCAATTAGGAAATTTTGGAGAAAAATTATAAATTTAAGAGACATGGTGAATTGGGTTTTTATATTTATGATTGAATTCAATCTCCCAGCTAATTCTTAACGGGAAGTAGTATAAACTTCACAGAATATGGGTAAGTGAAGTTAATTTAAATCATATTTCAATAAATTTGTTGCCCCTTGTTTTGTTCTCAATCATTTATTATACACACACCCATGTATACACACGCACACACGCACGCGCACACACGTAGTTCTTAATAACCATGTTTTAATATATAGAGGATAACCTTTTACGATAGCAAGCTTGGATTTAACATCCTGTCGCTAGTTTTAGAAAACTCAACATTATATCTGGTATGTTGTATGTTTGTGTCAACAGTTCAGTAACTTCCTCATCCGCTCTCTTTTTGTTATCACGGGAGCCACCAACATGACGATTCCTGGCAAAAAAGCCATTGTGTTTGGATTTGAAAATGCCAGCAAGGGATTTGCCAAAGCACTGAAGCAGGCTGGTGCTGACGTGGTTGTGTACGAGGTTGATTCCAACCTAACAGTTCAAGCTCACCTAGAAGGTTTCTCAGTCATTAAGATTCTTGGCGATGGTGTTTTTGAGGAAGACATATTTGTTATCAACGGGGGTAATATCGATGTGTTTAAACACGTAGAGAAGATGAAGAACAACACCATTATTTACTACATGGATACTACATTGGACGATGATAGCGATATCTATGCTGGGCACGAGCAATGCTTCTCGGGCATGACACATATCGTCGTCAATCCTCAAACTGACAAATGGGTCTTTCCTGAGAGAGACAAATGCATCATCGTATACAAAGGTTACCCTAGGTTTGTGTTGTCTTGGTCTTGCACAAGCCATGTGGTTGCTCTGCTTGATTTGTGGAGCAAGAATGGGACTGACGACAAGTACCAGAATAAGGTTCATGTTTTGCCTGAGCATCTTGAAAACAAGGTGTCTGATCTTCACCTTGCCAAGTTTACGGCCGCCAAAGGAGGGGCCGGTCAAGTCGTTGATAAGAAGGGGATATTACTCATGGTTGTTCAAGCTTGTTCGCTTATTCTGGGCTTCATGAAAGCTACCAAAGTTAGCATAGATCTCTCAGTTCCCAAAGTTTCCATAGATATCCCATTTTCTGCTATCTTAGGTAATTAAACGGCGAGAAATAGGTGTTAAAGTGTCATTGATTGGTTATGATCTTAGCTTAGGTGAAATAGGTGTTGAAGTGTCATTGATTGGTTATGATCTTAGTTTGGGTGGTTAAGATCATAAATTAGTTTGGGGTCTACAAAAGAGTCCTAAAATAATGAGTTTTGGTACGTGCGATTGTTTAATCTTACTTGAAGGGGGATTTAACAAGTCCCCGAAAATTTTGAGATTTTTTTGTTATCTTTCAGGAGGAAGGATTTGGTTACCTTAAAAGAGGGTTTATTGAATCTTCATTTATTGAGTGTTAATGACATTTCATTATTTTGTTCTTCTCTCTTGACAGTAGAGACTCTGAATTTCTGTTTTGTGGCAAAAATGTTATTTAGATGATGGGTGGGTGAGAAGAAAATAGAGGGGATTGATTCGCTTTGCATCACAGAGGATACGAGTGAGAAGAGAAGAGGATGTTTCGATACCCTTTTCCTTTAGTTGTTCCTTTAGTTGGCTCTTGGTTCATCATTTGGAGGGAATCCATGTTTAGAGAATTATTTACTGATTTCGAATATTTCCAATTAATCTACGTAGAAAAGTCAGATTTCAGGTTTCAAGATTCAAAAGGCTACGCTCTGCTTTGTCATCATATTTTTGTAAATAAAAAATGATTGACATGATGCTTATCAGTAAATATTGTCTGTGTTTTATATCCTGAGTTAAACCGTCTCTTCACCTCTATGGCAATAGGGGGCATGATTTTCTCAAGCAAAATATTTAGTGTACATAATTAATTCAATTGAAATTTAATTTATTAAAAAACCAGACTCCCAGCAATTTCACTTCCAACTTGGAAGTGCTGGAGAAGGAAAAAATGGGAACGAGCTGTAAGAATTGAAATAGAAGCCTTAGGCAAGGGATACTTGTTGCATAGAAACTTGTAGACCCGCTTTTGGTTTATAAAGAGCAGGACTTTGCATCAAAGACGCTTATTATATGCAAATTATTTGCCCTATTAATTAAGTTTGTTATTTACAAGATGATTTTCTAAAATGCGTCCTCAATTACTAGTAAATAAATAAAAAGTAAAAAAATAAAAGGGAAGGTTTAGACTTTAAAAGTGTTTGGCAATTGTTGAGAAAGCACTTGTGAATCCCAAACCATGGTTTAGGCTTAAAAGTCATCCAAACACTCTAATTTTTTGCAAAACTATGGTTTGGATCAAAATCATGGAAAAAACAAAATTTTTTTGCTTTTGGGCTAAAAAACTGGTTGATAGAGTAATTAAATCATGAAATTATATTTAAGGTAAAATAATATTTTTCTGTAGGTTAAAAAAATTATTTTTTAAAAAACATTTTTAATCTTATATTTTATAAATATATATACACGTACTAACAATTAATTAATTATATTTTTTATATTTCATTTGTTATATTGGCAAAAAAATCTATTTTAAACTCAACTCCCCTCTTTGTTAAATCCAACTCATTCTTTTTTGTTCTTTAAAAATGAAATTTTCACTTGGTTCCCCTAGCCCAACTAAGTTTAGGGCCCAAAAGATAGGTCCGATCCATCAGGAAAACTCGACCCAACCTAGTTCGTGCCGCACTTACACCATGGTTTTTTTTTTTTTTGGTAACACAACAAAGTAAAGTTTAAACGAACCCACTTCACTGAGAAGAATGAAAATATATGACACCAAGAAGCAAAAAGAGTTAACCCTCATAATGACAATTTAGAATCCCTGTTGAAATATTTTTTAAGAGCATGCAATAAAATGGCTGATGCTCTTACTAAATTAGGGATTTCCTGTCTTACTTGATGCGTCCCCGGATAATCAAAGGCCTCTTGTGGACAAAGACTGTGTGGGATCTAATCCTCATATTACTTAGTGTTTAGCCATCGTTTCTACCGGGGGGGGGGGGGGGGGGGGACAAAAGCTAAGGGATTCACACGAACATATTATTTGTGACTTCTAAATATGATTGATACTTCAAGAATAACCTGATATAGGATGAAGAAAGATTTTCCAAAAATTGACATGTGGATCATGGGATCCCCAAACCATGGTTTCAGTTTCTACCTAAACTTGTAAAGTTGGACACATTTGAATAAGGGATCTAACTCAGACAGCCTCAATTTGCAGCCCCATAATAACTGAATTTGGACTGTTTTTTTAAAAAAATTAAAAAAAAATTTAGAGCTTATAAGCCCAAGCCTTGATCATTAGGGTCGAGTTTCGAAAATTGCTTGATAGTATATATGACATATAATGGGCTATAATGGCCTTTAGGATCGGCCCATTACCCACCTCTAGTTGCACGTGACCTTCAAACTCAACGTTTTGTAATTACACATTTGCCATTCTAAAAAAAAGAATGATCCTCACCTAAAATGCTTCTTTAAGGAAGAAGATAAAGCAAACCTAGAAATATTTGGATAGAAATAAAATCATAATTTTAAAAGTACTTTTACGGTATACGAAGTAAATACTTGAAGGACTTTCCCTCAATTTGCAGAAAAGTACTTCTTGGGTTAATCAAACACCTCCTAATAGGAAAGGTTTTGCAACAATTAGTTAAATATAAAATAAATTCGAGACTGTTATAAAAAAAAAATATGTTAACATAATTTTTAGTCTCTCAAGTTTATTCTCATTTTGGTTTTGATCTTTCAAGTTTCAAATCATAAGTTTTAATCACTTAAAAGGCAAAATGATCTAAGTTTTTATTAAATTATAGGGACGGTGTTTTAAATAAAAAGAAACTTTAGACATCAAAATCTATGATTTGAAATTTAAGATATCAAAATTAAAATAAAGATAAACTTAAAAAACTAAAAATTATATTAATCCAAAAATAAATAAATAAATAAATGTGAGACTATATGAGCTAGCCTTAACCATATAGGTTAGCCCATATGAGGTGAGACATAAAATGAGTTAGATTAGGCAAATCTATTTTTATATGGGTTGATATCTTCCCTAACTCACACTATTTTTCCAGATAGAAATTCTCTCAAAATCCTCTTTCTTCTTGTTTTTTTTTTCCTTCTCAAAATCCCAATTGTTAAATATGAGAAAGAGGGTGAACATCCATTTTTTAAAAATACTAAATCTTAATTATTCATTTTTTGATCTACAAGTGAAGGTGACATTTTGAGAACAAAATAAGAAGGAGGGACTCTGGGAGGATCTGGACCCAATTTTTCCCTTAACAATTTTAAAATTTTTGTATCTTGAATCTTATCAATAAGCAATACAACTCATTTTAATTATATATATTACACCATTCACATTAATTGATTTTTCTTGTTGTATAAGTAGAGCTGGGAATTCGGGTTGGCCCTGCAAGGTTGACGGACTTAGAAGAGCAGGCCCTACAGGCCGAAATTTCAGAAATACCCTAATTTACTAAGCTCAGCCCTTAAACTGACAGGCTCGGGCTGGCCTGCGGGCTTTTTACCTGTATAAGAAAAGAATATTATTTTTTTATATTTCTCATATTTTTTTATTAAAAAACAAACAAACCAATGAAATAATTAATAAAAAACATAACTATAAATAAAATTAAGTTACAAATATAAAATATTATGATATCTAAATATCCATCTACATCTAAAACATTCATCAACAAAACAACAACATCGAAAAATTCCATCAATAGTACAGATGTGTAATAGAAAAACACTATAATTAATTTTTTAAAACTTTATCATCATTATAATTAAGTGCTCTTTTTTTGTAGCAAAAATATGAAGTTTTTTTTTCTTTATAGGAATTTCACTTTTAAATTTCACAATTTGACTATTAGTTTATTTTAGTTTGAGAAGCATTATTATTGAAACTCATAAATTTCTAATTTAAAATATCGAATCACATCACAAGTTATATAAGTATAAAAATACTCTCTTATCAAATATATAGTTTTAAAAATATCAACACATATAATATAAATCAAATCATTATTAAAATCCAAATTAACCTATTTTTAAAATTTAATTGGACAAATAATTGTCTAAAACCAAATAAATTAAACCATTATGTGAAATTTAATTTCAAAACGATAATAATAATTAAGTATTTGAAATGTCATTAACAATGTAAAAAAATTAATAATATGATCATTATACAAAAAAATTATTAAAAAAAATTAAAAGGGCCTAAACAGGCCGGCCCTGTAGGCCATCGGCCCTACAAGGTCAGCCCTTTCAAGTCCATTTCTCATTTGAAGGGAAAATTTTCAAACCCAACCCTCATAATTTTCGGGACTAAACGGGTCAGCCTGACGGGCTCGATCCGTTTTCCTAGCTCTATGCATAAGAGACAAGCATGTGGATGTGATATGGGTGCTTTGCATGATTGCACCAGGTCCAGATTGTTTTTCTTTTCCACTTTCTCCTTTTCTTCTCATAATCTTATCTCTGCCCTAGGACTAGAAAAATGAATAACTCAGATTTTATATTTTATAAATTTATTCTTATAGAAATAAATACATAAGTTTAGTTTTTTTTTAATTTAACCATGAGAACTATGTCATCAGTGAAAACCATGTACTTAGGGATTTCTTCTTGAATAAGTTCAGTTAGGAAGTCTAAAACAAGATTAAACAAGTAAGGGCTAAAAGAAGATCCCTAGTGTAGCCCAATCTTGATAGGAAAGTCTTTTGTTTCACCTTCAAGCATTCTCACACTAGTGGTTGCCTTCTTACACATATCTTGTATGGCTTTGATACATGCAATCCACACACCTTTCTTCTCCAAAGCTTTTCAAAGTACTTCTTTTAGCACATGATCATAAGTTTTTTCTAAGTCAATAAAAATTATATGTAATTCCCTTCCTTTACTCCTATACTTTTCTATTAATTCCCTTAGTATATAAATCGATTCTATTATGTATCTCCTTGACATAAATCCAAATTAGTTCTCATAAATGGAAGTCTCTAATCTCAACCTATGTTCAACCACTTTTTCTTACAATTTCATTATACGACTCATAATTTTTATCCTTTTAT